GAAGAGACTAACTTGAATTGTAAACTTTCACTTAAAGTACAATAAAAAAATTTTAAAAAATTTCTGTAGAAACCTGCACAGAATTTTATAGACAGTCATTTTATTGTCACCCCCTCTGACAATGTCACCCAGTGTGGTCCACACCCCGCACCCCCGAGTGATGTCACTGGGATGGCGCAGGATGGGGCAGCATTTCATTCTGTTGTCCGTACGGTTGCTATGAGTCGGAATCAACTCGATGGCACCTCACAACAACAGGACACAGTACAGTACCTGCCTGCTCGGGAAACAGGTCGGGGTCTTGTCCAGAGACCACCTGCAGTGTTGGCTCGAGTAGAGGGCTCCTGCCTTCTACGGTCCGTCGAGAGCAAGGATCTAGGCGAATCCAAAGTGACAAACTATCAGTTACCACTCCCCAACCCACCGCGCTTCTGCTGTGGCTGTGCACCGTCGAGTCGATTTCCACTCATAGTGACCCCATGTGACAGAGCGCAGCTGCCCCATGGGGTTTCCCAGGCTATAATCTACTGAGAAGATTGCCACGTCTTTCTTCCGCAGAGCCGCTGGGAGGATCGGAAACACCAACCTTCGGGTTAGCGGCTGAGCCCTTAACTGTTGCACCACCAGGGCTCCTTAGCACACTTCGAGCAGTGGAAAAACCACTGTGTAGTCAAGACAGACAGGAGGACGCTTCCTTTGCAGGCCTGGCACTTGACTCCAATAAAACGTGTAGTGAAGGCAGCAGCCACTTCCTATCGCCTCACTTTGTCCAGTTGGGAAAATAGGGGCACTATTTGTTAAATGGGGACAAAATGAAGTGCCAGTAAAAATATAAGTTTCTTAGGGGCTTGGGAAGAAAGCACCACGGCGGCACTCCCCTCCTTTCTCTGTGTCCGGTTATCTAGAGGATAGAAAAAAAAAAATCAGTGTTTACTAATTCCCAGTATTTAAACTTAAAAGACTGCCCACATGGAGCTCTAAGCTTTGCACACCAGCGCGGCAGCAGGTGGGCAGTGGGACCCGGCCTGGAGCTTCAGCCCCGGAGGTGGGACGTGACGTGGCGTGGCGTGGGCAGGGCC